CTAATCATTTACATTACAAATAGTCAGGTTGGATTAGATTTTTTTTTTAATTCAAAGTCTTCAAAATCAACAACCTGACATCATTAGATTAATGGATGGGTGAATTTTTACTGTTTAAATAAGGTTACATTTATCAAATTTTTTATTTTAAGATTCAATTTATTATTACATTTAGATTTGCATTCAATCTTTTCAATTTTATATATTTAAGAAAACTTGATGATAAAAATTAATAAATTAACATTATTAGAATTAAGAAATTTAAAGTTATATTTGTTGAGAATTACATTTTTATAATAATCAATGCTTTTGTTATTTTCTTAAATGGATGGCTAACTTATGTAATTAATCCCTTTACTCTATCAAAATGGTAGATTTAGTCCATATATAATAATTTATAAAAATTCAGTTTTTTATATTTTTTAAAATTGATAATGTTAATATAATGTTTTAAAATTTTTTTGTTATTTATATTAATATGATGTTTGGTTTTGTTAATACGGAATTTTCTTGTTGATGTAGTGATGTAACATTTCCTAAATGATGTAATAGTAGTACCAATATGACTAGACCAATAAATTACATGAATTTAATAAATGTGGACATGAAAATATCTAATATGAGTTAATGGTTTAAAATAAGGTTGAAAAAGAAACAAATCAAAAATATAAATAGATTGCTAAGATTTATAGAAAGAGTATTATGAGATGAAGAATTGAATTTATGTACTCCATGATTTAAAATAGTGAAAAGAGTGTTATGGAATAAATAAAAAAAATGTCACATCAACAAGAAAATACTAGATTAATTATCAATATAAATAATAGAAATTTTATAATAGTATTAATAATTGAATTGACTTTATCAATTTTAGAAAGTATAAAGACCTCAAATTTTTAATTATATATAGATTAAATTCACCACTTTACCAAAGCATAAGACTAATTATATAATTTAACATAAATGGATAAAAGTTCAAACACCAAATTTTACCATGAAACTTCCTCTAAATGCACTAGGAAATTAAGAAAAAGAAGAAGAAGAAGAAGAAATTATATATGCTGATAGATAGGTCACACATTCATTTGAGATCGTATTACAATTCTTATAATTACTTATTGTTTCAATTTTCTTATTACAAAAAGGTAAAATACATTGACATCTTTTAACTTTTGGTTATAATTGCACGCGAGTACATTAGTAATCAAATGAGCAGTTTACCCCAAATCTCTAAAAGATGTTAATGCTGAAACATGAAATATCTAAAATATCCTTATTCTTTTTTCATTTTTTTTCTCACAGACCGACTGACGACACTACTTAACATTGATTGGCCATCTCGTAACCAAAACTAAACATGAAATGCCAGATCTAGTTGAATCTCCCCAAAAGAGCACCAGATCGTGCTCCCCAAGGGAGCGTCAATCACCAATTGGCACAGGGTGGTCAACCAACAAGAGAGCGATCGAGAGAATTTGAATTATGGAGAAAAAATTAAAAATTAAAAATTATAATTTATATAGTGATTTTTTTATAATTAATTAAAAATAAAATTATTTTAAAATATTATCATATTATCAAACTAACACAAACATTGACGATTAATTAACGTTAGGATTTATGTGCTTAGCAAAAGATATTTTTTGTGATGAATTGTCCATTTTAAATACTAATAAATCCATATATAATTATAACCAAAAGTTGAAGATATGGATATATTTTACCCTTAAAAGGAGTCTAATAGCACAATGGATAAGCCTAGCTTAGAAGTGATTACATGTTGTCATGCTATGTGTGTTTGGTGTTTATGAGCACCACCATGGAAACAGTAGAAAAAAGTCTATCCTCTCTCATTTTATCTAAAATCATGGTTGACCATTCAAATCCTCTATTATGAATTTATTTTCCTTTTCAAGAATCCATTGATTAGATCTATCGGAAGCTTCTTAAAGTTTTATCTTAAAATTATTCGTTCAATCGTACAAGTGTACCCATATTCATCATGAAAGGCTTTTGCCTATACCAAAATTGAAAATAGAAGGAATTTTGCCCCAATATGATTTTGATATCACTACAATGTCATCTTTAATGTTTTTGCTTCCATTATATCATCCTTTAAGAGTTTTATTATTTAAAAAATATCTTTAAATAATTTTTAAAAAAATAAATTATTTTTTATTATTTTATTACATTCAATTAAATTTTTATATTTTTATTTTAAGTTAAGAACGAATGTTGCATAGTGACAGGAAAGGCCCTCCAAAAATGTTAAAATTTTTTATATTATATATATTTAATGATCTTCCAAAATAATTTTTTATTTGAATAATTAATATAAATAAATAATAATAAAATAACTTCACAAGTCTTATTTAATTTTACTATAACTCTTAAATTTTTCTTTAATTTTTTTAATTTTATCCACACCGATTTCCGTCTCTTCTTTTTCACTTTCTCTTCTCTTTTGTCTTTCATTGTAAAATTAGGAAGAGGTAAATTTTTTTTATCTTTTTTTTATTTATATTATTAATATTATTTATATTTATTTATTTTTTCAATTCTATTCTATTTGCTCATATGTTTTGAGTTTTTATAGATTTTCTTTTTCAAATTTCTACGAATCATCAATCATATTTTTCTACTTGCCACGTTCTTTTTTTTTTTCTTTATGTAGATTTAATTTTCACTGATTTTTGTCTTTAAAAATTAAAAAATTATTATATAATTCTTAAATATGAGTTGTAGTGTTGCATTATTAGTTGTTACATAAAATTTTACTAGTATATCATTTATTTTATTAATCCTTATTATATAAGGAGAAATTATCTTGAATATATATTTTTTATATGCTTTACGTTTTATATTTAATTGAATAAAAATTATCTTTGAGTATTTAGTATTTCAACAATTTTGATAACATAAAAATAAATTATTAATTTTATATATCGTATTTAACTATTTATATTTTATACATTATTTTTTTTCAACATTAACCTCTCAATAAAAATTAACTAGCTTCGCCCTTAGTTTGAATCAATAGATTTTTGCTTCGTCCTTTTTAAGCTCCAACGAATCAGAAATATGTGAACTTGCTAAATATTGAAGAAAGCATGAGTTTTAGATTTTTTGTTTGCTACGTGTTGCAATGAAGGTTGGGACTTGCTGCCTTTAGATTCCCAGAAAGCAATTATATTTCTTTAGAGTTGATGTTTTGCTTTTGACTCTTTTCCAATTGATTTATTCGTTTCATTCAACCAGCCATTGCTAAACAAATCAAAGATTTCACCTCATTATCTATTATTATTTTTGAAAGTAATTTTCAAATAGAAGAGTGAAATAAATATTAAAAATTAAACTAAGAAGAAGAGTAATATAAATATTACTTTGAAGAATTTAAGATTTTACTTTCCAAAAAAGATTTACGATTTTGAATCTATTGTTGTTGAGGGAAGAAGAGGAAGAGATTGAATAAGAGAGAGTTAAAGGGATAAAAAAATATATTTTTAATTTTTTTTTGTAAGTCCTTTAAAATTTTGAATTAAATTAAAAAACTTAATAATATTTATTGTAAAATCTCTTAAAATTTTGAATTTATTTTGTAATAAGATGGCATGATCTTATGCCCTTATACATTGTTAGTGTATCAAATTTAAACCATTGTTGATTAATTATTTTAGTCGAAATGTTACTTATTATTTTATATTATGTGATATTAATATGTCATAATGGATGATGATGTGGCATGATAATATAATCATATAACATGTTTACTCTCTATATTAACTCTACATCAACATCGTTAACACAATGTGAGTATAACATGATAAGTGATATTTTGACTAATCACAATTAATCAACAGTTAGTAATAAGGGTTTATTTGATTCAAAATAAAAATATAAAGATTTAACTGAACACAAAAAGAGAATAAGAATTTATTTAAATTTTTTGAATAGTTCAAAAACTTTTTCAAATTACTTTCAATTGTAATTTTTAGTTGTAATCATCTATTACAATTTTTTTCAAAATGGTGCAATGACATAATTCAATTGCAATTTATAGCCACACTCCATGACAATTATATGCATTGAAATACAAGAATTAAATTTTCAACAAAATCTATTAAAAGAAACAAAAACCAAAAATTATAGTATCATTGTCTTTAAAATGAAATTATAGTATATTTCTAAAGGAACATCCTAATGGACAAGATTGGGGACTTGAGATTCAAATTTGGACATTTTGAATATAAATTCTGAGATTGATGGATACGGTAAAAAGTTGTTACTTCACATTATAGTGCTAAATATAAAAAAATACATAATAACAGAATAAGATTAGTTATGTATAAGTAGAGGTTCCCAAAGACCAAACTATTTGTGTAAGTCCAAAACCGTGACTCAACTCGGATCTAATTAATTTTGGGTTTGAGACAGCACAGCCTGACTAAACAAATATTATATTAGAAATATTATATTTTTTATTAATATAATTAAATGACGGAATTGAACTCAAACTTAATCTTAAAAAATTAATATATACGGTTAATTTGGCCCGAACCAGGCCATAACAATCTGTGACTAAAGGAAAAGGCAGAAAACCCACAGCCAAATTAAGGAATGAGAGAAGACGAAAGGGACACACATTCATAAAAACCTAAGCAGCAGGCAGAGGAGAGTAGGCATCTGATCTGATGTCTCTAATCCACAAAAACAATCTTTCTGTTTCTCTGATTTGAAATAATTGTACGGTTTGGATAACCTTTGAAATGGGGACAGTGCCAGACACCCGGGCTATGATGGGGTACCATCACTCCACATTCCTCTCTCAAAAGTCAACCCCTTTCTCGCCGCCCATTCGTTTCCAACTCCTCCTCCAAGGTTTCACCCTATCCCCCTCTCACACTCAATCATCACCTCCTCCTTCATTCGGGCCCCACCTCCCCGCACTTGGATGCCCGATCCGCCTCCCATAGAATCCAACCCTTGTGATCCCAGCAACGTGGCCTTTTCTCATTCGTCCGAGTAAATCCGGAAACCCTTTTACGTTCTATTGGGCCAATAACAAATCGACACGAAAACTATTTTCGTAACGATGAATTCGAAAAAGAAAGAAAGAAACTCATAATCCGGAATTCAGAAACCTTCCAATCCTAGTTCAGCTCCCTCCCACGTCATCGATCCTCGTATCCCATATGAAATAAACTACATCCGTTCGATATAAACCGAAGTTAGGTATCCAGCCGTTGGATCATAGCTCCAACCCGTCTTCTTCATCTCCTCCTCCTTTCATCCGATCGCAAAGCCTCTCCCTTTTAAATCCAACCCTTCTCCTCTCCCTCTTTCTTCACAACAACAACAGTTTCCTCTCTCTCCCTTTCCTTTCTCTCAGCAAAACCAAAAGGAAAATAAAGAGCAAAAAAGGAAGAAGAAAGCTTTTTTTGTTTTAATTTTTCAATGGCGACTGAAGAAACTAATAACACTCAAGGCCCTCCTCCCCCTTCTCAACAATCTTCTCTTCCAGACTATCCTCAGGTACTTGAATTTTGTCCCAACATTTTTTCTCGGGGTTTTTTTTGGTCATTTCATGTGTGTAATTTCTTTTGATTTCGTTGTTTAGATGATTTTGGAAGCGATAGAGGCATTGAACGAGAAGCAGGGTCGAATAAGTCGGCAATCTCGAAGCACATCGAGTCGACTCACCCAGATCTCCCAGCGGCTCACTCGACCCTCCTTTCCCACCACCTCAACAAGATGAAGCAAAGCGGCCAAATTGTTATGACGAAGAACAATTACTTGAAACCCGACCCAATGCTCCACCCAAGCGTGGACGAGGGCGTCCGCCTAAGCCCAAGGTTCCTCTTCCACCTGGCACCGTCGTCTCCCCACCGAGGCCTCGTGGTCGTCCGCCAAAGCCCAAAGATCCATTTGCTCCCCCTAAGCCCAAAACCTCCCGCGGTACTGGAAGGCCTCGTGGACGCCCACCTAAAAAGGCTAAGACTGGAGTCTCCGCTGCTCCTCCACCTTCCGGTGTTAAGCGAGGTCGCGGTCGGCCGCCGAAGGTGTAATTGCCGGTGGCTTCTGAAGTAAAAGTAGTGAAAGCTTAAAGAAAGAGAGAGAGATAGAGAGAGAAAAAGAGGGAGTTAGCTAGGTTTTTTTTTTTTCCTTTTCCTTTTTTTAACTTTAATTTTTTAGGTGTTGTTTAGTTCTCTACTAATTGATGTTTTAGCTTTTTCTTTCTTTCCTCCTTTTTTTCTTGTAATTTGAATTTTTTATTTCCGGGGTTTGGAATTGATGTGGGGAATGTGTTGTAATGCCTTTAGGGAAGGGGTAGATTTTAGTGACTCTTTGTAATTTGCATGTAAATTTGTTGAACCGGCTTTGTAGGCTTTTGGGCCTCTTTATTATCTCTCGCTTTGCCCCAAGCATGAAAACATTAAAAAAAAAAAAAGGATTAAAATCTCTTCTTCCATCACTTTTTCCAACTCTTTTGCTTTTGCTTTTTGAATTATTTTTTGTCCCTTTAAAGACTGTTACCAATCTAGCATGCATACTGTATTTTCTCTCTCTTTCCTATGCCCAAGTAATCTAATTATTTCTATTTTAATGATGAGGAATAGTTTGAGCTAAACATAATTTTTATATTTATATATTTTTGCTTTTGATTTATTGAGTTGTGACAACTTTACAGATAATATAGTGTAATAATAAATGGCAACATGTTTCCTTTTCCAGAGCACGCTTGAAATTTGAAAGCAGGGATTAAAAATAAAAAATAAAGGAACAGGAATATTTTTGTGGATTTTTATTTGGTTAATAGGCTCTTTTGCACATGGGGCGGACTGTAGACAAAGTTTGTATGGGAAAATTTTTCAAATTTTTGAAAAATAAATTTGGGCGGGTTTTGGCGGGGGTGTTTTTGACCTTTTATTCTTATTTTAAAAGGAAAAAGTTGGAGTACGTGGATTCTGTTTTGGGTGCGTGGTCCTTAGTCCTTACCCAATTTTGCTGATTTTTCCTTCCTAATTCGCGCTAGCTGCACAAGGCTGACACAGGTTTTTGAGTTGGGACTGCTTATTTTGTTGGACTCCTGTCAATTTAGCAGAAGATATTTCATTTTATTTTTATCAACCTAAGTAAAGGGCACACTTATTTTAATAATGGTTAAATTAGTTCAACCAACAACAAACAAAACTAGGAAAAGGTTACCAAAATTAGACTTGGTAATTCATGTTTTTATGTCTTAAATATAAAAGATACAATTAGACATGAATAATATTGATGTTTTAAATTTAAAACACGTAACATATATATTTAATAACCGTATAAAATAATACCACATAATTAACATGTTCATTAAATATGCTAATACAAGATACAACACGATTACTAATATAATGAAATAAAAATATTTATAATTAAATATACTTTTATTATTTAAATTTAAAATTAATAATTATAACAAAATAAAATAATAATAACATCAAATATAATAAAACAAAAGCTCAAAATCATGGTTTAGCCATGGCATAATTACGTTATTATTTTTATAAAATTTAAGAATTTATTAAAAATTATTTAAGTGAGGTTAGAATAGTCTTTAATTATTAATTTTTAATAAATTGATAAACGTATCATGTATATACGTTTAAACATGATGACATGATTAAACACAATAACACGATTAATATGATTAATTAAATGTGTTACTCATGTTTGATACGTTAAGACACGAAAATTTTCGTGTTTTAAACATATTAAATACAATTAGACACGAAACACGTTAAGACATAACCCACACTTGTTTAACCTCATGTCTTTCCGTGCTGTGTTAAAAATTGCCAAGTTTAGTCCAAATACCTTAATATATATGTGCTATCTTTGTAAAATCTTTGTGAAAGGGAGAGGAAGCACCACAAATAAGTAAAAGGATGTATCGGAATCACCAGAGAAAAAGATTAAAGCAGTTTTTGAAGCATTGAATATCATAAGAGATGAAAAAGAATAGATAAATAATTAGAGAGTAAAAGAGAATTAAAGAGAGAAGTAAAAGAAAGCAGCTTTAGGTGAAAATGTTATAAACCTAGAAAAAAGAACCCTCAAATGAATTGTGAAGGTTGTATATATTGTGCCATAAGAGATGGTTATTCAAGAATAGGTTTTCATATGTGTAATGAATAATATTATTAAGAAAAGTTTAAATGTTAGATAATTGTTATTGAGATTTAATATTGAGTAATGGTTATAAATTCATTATGTGACTATTGAAGTGGTTGGGTTTTATGACCGTTAATAATATAAAAAAACTTATTCTTAAGTAAAAGGTAAAAGGACGAGAACAAGCTAAGAAAAAAAAGTGTACGTGAAAAGATACAAAAAGAACAAGTGAGAGGAAGAAATACATGTATTTGAAAAGAAACAAGATAACAAGATAAGAAAAAGAAACACTTACACATTAAAAACAAGTTAAGAAAAAGATTTCTTAACTATTTTTATATATGAGCCAGCAAATCAAATTCTCTAAAACATTCTAAGGTGAAAGTAACTTGCGAATATTATCACTTATTTTGGGTTACTTTTATTGCTATTCGTATGAAATAGTTATTCAATATGAAGTAGTTATTCCAATTATATTAATTGTTTCATATGAAGTAGTGCTCAATTGTTTTAGTTGTTTTACGTGAAGTAGTGATTTACTTGTTTTAATTGTTTTGCGTGAAGTAGTATTTTACTTGTTCTAATTATTTTGCATGAAATAATGTTTCATTTACTGTAATTATTATCATTATTCTCTATATAAAACTACGTTGTAAAACAATTCTTAAAAAATAAAAATACTACCCAAAATCAATTATTTACAATCCCTCCATGCTGCTCAACAAATTTGGCTTTGCCTTTTTTTTTTAATGGCTTCCTCCCATTTTTATGTCAGACAGATTTTCAATGCATTTGGTTACTCATATTGAAGAATACATAATAATGTACAATATTTTAAATGTAAGTGTTGAAAATATAAGTAATCAAAACCCAGTTAATATTGACAGTCAATGCTCTTTTCTTTTTAACTCATGTTAATTGTGAAATTTCTATAAAGTCATCTATATCTTGTCTTGTAATGAAAATATTCAACTATTCAATAATTAATTTTGACATATAAAATGATTTTCATAATGTAAATTCAATACTTAAAGATTTATTATTAAAGTTTTAGGCATAATAATTACACAATTTTTTGAATTATTTAAAAAAATTTAGATAAATTCTTATAATTTTATTATATTCAATTAAGCTTTTATATTTTTATATTAAGTTAAATAAAACCTTAAAACTAACGTTGATTAATTGTCGTTAATCAAAATATTACATATCTTTTTATGCTAGATGACGCTAATGAGGTATACTAACATGTCATAATGGATAATGACATGACATGTTGATATGATATGATGACATAATGACTTGACATTTTACACCCTTCATGTCAATATCATGGTTATAAAAATAACAAATATTATTTTAATTAATAGTAGTTAATCAATTTTTTCAATAATTTTTTAATTCTAAATCACGTGATTTTCAAAAATTTAAATTCAAGCTCACTTTACTAACAATGATTAACTTAGACCCTTATATATATATTAACAATCATATTTACATTAGATGTGAGATGAAATATCACACTCCAATAATCCTACCCACCTAAATTTTTGATATCCTTATTAAGACTACAATTCACAATCACAACCAAAACTCAATCTATAGAACCTAAATCTCATCAATATCATGTGGAAGCTCACATCAAATTGACATATGCTTTGATACTAGTTGTAATAATCTAACTCGAAGTATTATGGTTCAATAATTTTTTAGACCTAAATCACTTTATTTTTAAAAACTTAAATTCAAATTATTAGTAGTGATTAATTTAGACTCTTATGTAAGTATTAACCATCATATTTGTATTAAATGAGAGATGTTATATGACATTTATCTTAGTATAATTTATGAGTAGTGGATTTAAATTCAATTTGTTAAAAAAAAAGTTAATAGTACTATATATCTTCTATTTGATTAAAATAAATCTTGTATTTTTTTCGGCCAAAGTAAAATTAGCTAATAATTAAATTGAATCTATAAATCCATGAAGCTTCTTCCTATCTTGTTCAGCATTGCTCTTTTTATTTAATTTGATATTATTATGTTGAAATTATAGAAGATTCGTTGTAGTTTTAGTTTTGTTTCTGAGTAGGCGTAACGAGCACTACTTGAGTAAATAATGTTCTGAAGAGGATTCTGTTAATCAAAGTTCTTACGCGTCTACCTCATTTGCAAGCCGGTTGGGTGTGCTAATAAAATTGTGGCACCACCTCAGTTTTTAGCTCAAATCCCAATAAAAATAAAATTAATAAAAGTTAATCTCTTTCTAATTTATCCTGTATTTATTATCAGCAATTTTGTCCTGAGTATGTACAATAACAGTTTGTAATTAACTAGTACTTAAAGGATATTATTTTAAAACTATCATATTCAGTCATTTATTTTTTGAATGAATTGAAATTTATTAAATAATTATTAATTATCATATTTAATATAAAAATATTATTATAAATAGTATTTTAACTAATTTTAAATCAAGAGTGTCTTATAAGACACTTGTTATAGAAAAGTAGAAACTCAACTTATTTTTTGTCAAATAGATAGTGTAGGACAATAAAGGCTTGCTTATTTTAACATAAACCATGTTAGTGCTAAATAACTAAATTTGGGGCATGGTACTTACTATAATAGTGTTTAGAGAATCAAATTCTTTCTTTTCTCCATATTCTTTTGTAATGGAAAAGAATGCAAAAGTAATCGGTGCAAGAATATTGAGTTACAAGTTCATTGTTTAAGTTCTTCAAATTAAATATGCACAAAAATAAGTTTCTCCTCTAATTAAAGAAGATTCTTGATATATACAAACACACAAATGCATGAGCGAGGAAAGGTCCTCTTAATTGTGTAAAATTAATTAAATTTTAAAGTAATTCATATAATTTTATATGATTTATATTTTGTTAATTTAATTGATAAATTTCATGTTCTATTAACATAAAAATTATTAACTATATATAAAATTATAATTGTACACTTTCTTCTCCAATGATTGCAGCCATCAGGACTAATCTCCTAATCTCCTTTCATAGCTCCGGCATTAGAGAAATCAGACAAGATTAGCTTCCTAGTGAAGAAGAAACCTGCTCCCATCTTCATCTTCTTAATGGAAACATGGGCTTTTGTTCTTGCTTCATGTGTACGGCAGGTCATGATAACTTCCTTTTATTTTACGAAGATTTTACATTTTTTTAATAGAAAAAGTACAGCTTAGAGACTATAGTGTGTGTGACCCAATGTTATTTCCATTTTA